AAACTTTGAATTTTGAAGAACTTTAAAAGTCATTAAAAGACATTTCAGAAGTCAGTTAAGCTCATCTCCCGCCATCTAGAAATCGAAATTTTTCCGGGGGAACCCGGACCCCTTTGATTAATTGAATCATTTTCAAGGGCCCCTTTTATCTTTGGAGTTCATTGATTAATTGAATCATTTTCAAGGGGGGGGGGGCCTTGAATTTTGAAGAATTTTAGAGTCATTAAAAGACACCACAGAAGTCGGGAAAGCTCATTTCCCGCCACCTAGGAATCAAAAATTTCCCGGAAAAGAACCGCAGGACGCCCCCCCCCCTTTCTTTTTGGGATTTATCGATTCATGGAAAAACTACACATCTTTTTTTTTGTATGTATACACACATAAGGCCTATTTACTGTATTAACAATGGGAAAAAATTATCTGACCGTTTTCAAGAGTGGAACACCTTGAATTTTGAAGAACTTAATTACTTTTAAGTTCTTCAAAATTCAAGGTGTTCTCCTCTTGAAAATTATTATAATGAATCAATGAACCCAGAGAAAGGGAGGTTCGAGTTCTTCCCGGGAAAATGTTGATTTCTAAATGGTGGACAATGAGATTTCCCGACTTCTGAAGTATTTTTTAGACTTTAATTTAAAAGACACCTCTGAAGTCGGGAAAGCTCATTTCCCGCCTTCTAGGAATCAAAATTTTCTTGGGGAAGAACCCCTGGACCACCCTTTCTTTTTGGGATTCATCGATTCATGCAAAATTCGTATGCAACTACTCATTTTTTAAAAATTGTTATGTATGTATTCACACATAAGCCCTATTTACTGTAATAACATTGGGTTAAAATTAACTGACCATTTTCAAGATGGGAAAACCTTGAATTATGAAGAACATAAGAGTAATTAAAAGGCACTTCAGAATTTCCCGTCATCTAGAAATCGAAATTTTCCCGGGGGAGGAATGTTGACCCCCACCACCTAAATTTGATTCCAAATCTGCACGATTCATAGTCCCATTCATCTTATAAGCAGTGGCGTAACAGGGGAGGGCAGACTGTCCCCCCCCCCCGACGGTTTTTACTGGGCTGACCAAGCTGTCGTACCGGGGTGGGTAAGAAGAGAAAAGAAAAAGGGGAGAGGGAGGGAAATAGAAGGAAGGAGAAAGAAAAAGAAAGGAAAAAGGATAATAAATAGAGAAGAGAAAAATAGGCCTAAAAACAAGAATAAAAAGGAAGATATAATGAACAGATATCACAATACCCAGGCCTGCAACCCCTTCTCCTCTTCAAAAAGTGTCCATAGCGCATTTGATCTCAGCCGCCAGGTATTCTCCGCAATGTGGCGTAACCGCCGGGGGACAAGGGGAAAATATCCATCTGTGGAAAGTCTTTCCCCATTGAATGCCCTTTTCACCCGGGAAAGTGCCTGAAAATCTCAAATTTTAAATAGCATATTTTGTTGAGGTAGGCCAATTTTCTCTAAAAATTGCACATTTTAGGGAGTTTTGATCAATTCCGACGAAATTAGAATTAAAAAAACAATAAATTTTCGCACGCATTTTTTAATGTTAAAGCTTGTGCTTGCTCTCCTTTGCCTATAAGTTATAACACATAGTCCCAAACTCAAGAAAGAAAATTTATGATAGGTCTTTTTACCTAAAAGAAGGGCCTCAATGTGTAATGATGTTGAAAGAATATGTTTGTAATAAATAAAGCCATAAGGAAAATGCTTTTATTCAGTTAAAAAAAATGAGTGTGGCCATATATAACATAAGAGCATTTCTTGTTGAGGTAGGCCAATTTCCTCTAAAAATTGCACATTTAGGGAGTTTTGATCAATTCCGACGAAATAAGAATTAAAAACACAAACATTTTTCGTGCGCATTTGTTAAGGTTAAAGATTGTGCTTGCTCTCCTTTGCCTTCTAAGTTATTTAAAAACATAATAGTCCCAAAATTGAGAAAGAAAATTCAAGATAGATCGTTTTACCTAAAAGAAGGGCCTCAATGTGTAATGATGGTGAAAGAACAGGCCTATGAATTGTAATAAGTAAAACCACGATAAAATGCTTATATTTTAGTTTCAAACACACGTGTGTGCCCTATATTAATAATAAAATAAGCCCTATATGTCATATTGTTTTCTACATGGTGGGCTGTCTCTTATACACATCTAGATGTGTATAAGAGACAGCTGTATTAACAATGGGAAAAACCCAAGACCCCTGTTACGCACCTGCTTATAAGTGGGGCCCCCCACTTTGAAAAACGTTCCGCTGGCTCTATATCCTTCCCCTCTCTGTGTCTGTGTGTGTCGTGTTTCAGTGGTTTGTATGTCCTTCCGGCCACATAACTTAAAACTTTTTGGACCGATTCACTTCAAAGTTTCACACATTGACAATATTGCAGTGTCTCGGTTCTCCTCAAATTTAGTGCTGATCAGAAGTAAAATGTATATTCAGATTTCCAGAACGTTATCTATATATTTTCGGTCGCATCTGACAGAGCCAAATCGAGCGGATTGTTCGACCGCGTACCAACATGGTCGGATTGAACCGACCATGTGCCACATTTTCAACAGACTGGAAGCGGTCTGGGCGGCATGAAACGCCGATTGATGGGATTGCCACCTGAGGCCTATGATGATAGGACTTGTTTGGCGAATGGAAAAGTAAGATGCAGATTTTATGTGTTTTAAATATTTATAGCCGTATATGCCACAATCCTCTGTCCAAATTTTATACCAAAACAAAAAATAATTGTGGAAAAAATATTCTATAGATGCACAAATAATATAAAAACAAGAGAAAGATTTAAACCCCATACATACGATGGAATTTACACATAATGCGTGCACATTCACCGCTTGGCTGCACTTCACCGTATAAGTATGTATAGCTGTTAATATTACACTCCTATAATACAACAACCCGCGGATCGATCGAATCGACTATAAAATAGATATAGGGCGAGGGTGTGTAATCTCAGATCTTGTTTCTATTGTATTTCCTTAAGTATCATAATACATTTATTTAAATTAATACGTATTTATTTAAGTAAACACAACCAATAAATGTAAAATTGGTTTCATTCTATTTACAAATTTGAAATTATAAAAAAAAATGATTGTGTTTCTTTTTTTTTCGTAGTAGAATGAGTAAACATTAGTTATTATCAATGCAGAAAAAATTTATACTGATGCTGTGTATTGCTGAAGGCTACAAGCTATATATATGTCTATTTTCAGATCTATTAGGTTGTAAAAAAAACTAATAGAACCTAATAACAAATCTTATTATAAGTTGTTTTTTTTAAAGTATTATCAGTTAATTATATATAATTAATGAAATACAACTAATTAACTGATTTATTAGGTTGTATTATTATTAATTGTACAATACAATATTTAAGTACAACAAACTAGTTCTATTTTTTCTATAAATTTTACCTTTCAGTAAGTATATTTATTTCAAAATCATAATTACATCATGGATCAATATTTAAATCTTACTAGATGTGTATAAGAGACAGCTCCTTTGCCTATAAGTTATAACACATAGTCCCAAACTCAAGAAAGAAAATTTATGATAGGTCTTTTTACCTAAAAGAAGGGCCTCAATACAACAAACATAAAATTTGTTTTAATCTATGTACAAATCTAAAAACCAACAGATGCACTGATTATGTTTAAATAACATAAAATGAACGTTACTCCGAATAAAGGGAGGGAGGCCATGATTCAACGTTTCAACCTTTATTGGGTCATCATCAGGAATGAGAAAACTTAGTGATTACAAAAAACGCTACAATATTTAAATGAGGGGATTAAAAGCTAGTACAATAACAATGGTAATTATGATGAAACATACATAAAAATAAACTAAAATACTATAAAATAAAATAAATATAAAAATAAAATAATATAAAATACTTGTAGTTTTAATAATGGGTTTTTTTATGGTAGAATCATGAGGGCGAACATTTTTCAAATACATTGTTCAATTAGTTATTATTAATGCAAAAATCTGCTAATACTGTATTTAGGTTGTATCAAGTTAAGTATTATTAATTAATTACAAATAATTAAATACAACCTAATTACTAAATAAATATAATGTACTATATTATATTTACCGTCTATGTCTCATCATGTATTGATATAGAACTATAATTGTATGTTGGTTTACGTTTTAGAAATAGATATAAAAAATAACTGATGCTTTGCTAATTATACTGTGAACACTATTAATTACCATTATTCAGTAGGATGTGTGATAGCTCCTATCCAACCAACACCCTATTCTGAAATGGATTTCCTTTGTTAATAGCATTTCTTCCTACTGGCTTTTTTTCCTACTGGCATTATTTCTGATTTCCTCAGATTTAACACCCAGGCACTTTCTGTCACACAACTGACTAAAACGTTCATACATAGTGAAAATATACGTAAGATAGAAAAGGTTATAGGCCGCTGCAACCTATAAGCTTTTCCAGCTTATTTATTGATTACACTCACAGATCGAAATGGATAATGTAGACGGGTGGTTTGCTGTTTATTTATGAGGTATAGTACAGTAATACAAATACAACATGGTTTTATTTCGGTAATAGCAGTAAATTATATTTGTTGGATAATTTAGACTACCGCTTCCCGCTAGGAGGTGGAGTTCCAATCATCCAACATCTCGGGAAGTAGAATTTACTACTTCACCTCAAACCATGTATTATTTGTACACATACATACCAACAATTACAACATGGTTTTACTTCGGTAAAGCAGTGAATTTTACTTCCCAACTCCAACACCTCGGGAAGTAGAATTCACTACTAACTTCATCTCAAACCATGTTGTAATCAATGCTCCAAATTGTACACCGACAACAAATATTTTAACTTTCATTTAGAGGAGCACTAGGTCATGGTAAAATGCAGATACACCATTTTCAATCACAATTTTGGTGCGTTTCTTATAAAATCGTTTAAAGTTTACATTTTCCGTTCTGCTTGTATAGGTAATGGAGTATTTTGCCGAATTTGAGGATCGTGTTTTATCAAACGTAAACCACATAAAAGGCCTACAAAACAAAACGGAGTACTTTGACGGAAAGAACTATAGTAAGACATAGTTTGGATATTTTAATATTTTACAAAGCTTAAGCAGTCTTTGTTTTCATAATATAATTTTTGTGTTATTATTGTCATATATAGCCTACTGTCTGTCAGATTAAAATCTGGTTCTTTGAAACCGTTAAATATCTTAATTGAGACATAGTTTAAACATTATGAAAACATTATAAAATTTTCAACGTTCTTGCGTTGTAACGTTTCAACGTTCTTGTGTTGTAACATACTGGCCAGCATGATTTACTTCAAATGTATCTAAATTATATAAAATATTTATAATATTTTTCTTATAGTTGGATTTGCAAAGATAGAGAGTACAAATGGTATTCAATGGATAAACAACAACCTGCAAGTTGCTGATGAGACTAAAGTAGAATTTGCTCTTCAGGTCCAAACTGAAATAAAAGGTAATGTTATTCATTATAGTGATTGTTACTTTCATAATTATAAATGATTGATGATATATTAATCAGCAATTACGCTTCAAAGCCTACAATCACAATAGAAAAAAAAAATCAACCGTGGTTCTTAGATAACGTCTGGATTTGAAACCCTTCCGGATTGAAAAACTGCAACAACAAAGACTATGTCTCCATTTCATTAAGTGAATATAATTCCAAATGTCACCTTAATTGAGGTAAAAAATAATGACTTTTACAGTCGTTTTTCACCGGAGCAGCTGCTGCGTCACGACCAACATGGCCTACCGATGGCATGTTTACAGTGTGGTTTTTAAATGAAACGCCAAAAGAGCAACATTATACGTACGTACCGTACTTAAGCATCTGGGTTTTATATGGAACGCCAAAAAGGCAGCTTTCAAACACAGTCGATTTTCTTAAACACAATACACTTGGTTTTCAGGCACAGTCTGTTAACAAAAGCAGTAGATTTTTGTAAAGGACGATCGGTTTTCGGCTTCTTTAGGTGTTACAGTAAAATTTTGTTTTAGCTTGCCCTGGCCAATGCTGACGTCTCATCCTCATTTTAGTGGTTTTTAAATATTTGCATGTTATGTAAAATGATATGAACGTGCTATCAAAACCTGTACCTGAACTACCACTACATTTCTAACATTATAAGTAAAGAAAATAACTGAGCGACATAATGAATTATGCATCCTATATTCTTTTAGCCGTCCTATTGTTCTTTTTATCGAAACTAATCGCGACATTCACATTCTAGTGGGTAAGCGAACGAAACCCTCTAGTTACAAATAATTAAGTAAATAACGTTAATAATAATAATAATCATAATAATAATAATAAATGAATAATTGATGTAACGAATAATAAATGTAAAAATATCGAAATAACTTCAATAATAACAACAGCAACAACTGAAACAGAAATTGCAACGGAATCAGCAACATC